TATGTATGTATGTATGTGTGTGTATGTATGTATGTGTGTGTATGTATGTATGTGTGTGTATGTATGTATGTGTGTGTATGTATGTATGTGTGTGTGTATGTATGTGTGTGTGTATGTATGTGTGTGTGTGTGTATGTATGTGTGTGTGTATGTGTGTGTGTGTGTGTGTGTGTGTGTGTGTGTGTGTGTGTGTGTGTGTGTGTGTGTGTGTGTGTGTGTGTGTGTGTGTGTGTGTGTGTGTGTGTGTGTGTGTGTGTATGTGTGTGTGTGTGTGTGTGTGTGTGTGTGTGTGTGTGTGTATCTGCATTGCTTGATTCACTTATTATTACTAGCCCTGATTACTTTTTTTCCCAATATGACTGTATTACATATTTAGTTAGTGCGTCATCGCATTGAATCCGGACCAGCTCACCTTTCTCTACCTTCGTTACTTCGCTTCGCTTCTCTTAACTTTTGCTTGAAAGCTTTTTCTCATATCTGTGTGCATGTAAGCGATCGCTTGAAATAAGCTCATCGAATTGAATGCGTAATTTAGCTTCCTATTATCGCCGTTGTGAGAAGACTGAGGCAGGCGACGAAGATTGTATTATGCAAATTTACACTCTGAGTCAGTTAAAAACGAAAACATTACATTGAACAGTACTCTATTTGCACACCATCTTTGAGTCGTGACTTCCAACACTCCATCCTTCTTCCATTCCTGTTGGTACTCCATTTACTTCTTGCTTTTGTTCCATTTGTTTTGCGTTTTCCTCTTGTGACCGTGAGACTTGTTCTTTCACGTCCCTTCTTATACTACTACTTATATCGTTCGTATAAGTAGCATACACCACAGTTGCACTCACTTGGTTTGTCTAAGCATGATTTAGAGGAATTGAAGGGAAGATTTAATTCATAGCCCTTATCTAGTGGTTGTTCGCTTAAATTGGAGTTAGATCTCGAGTCACTAAAACGATCATATTCTGTTGTTTTCTTTTGACCTAGTGATTTGATTACGCAACATTCTTTTGCTTAATCTGTCCAATAAATATACGAACTTTGTTTAAATAGATAATATTACTTTGCATAATTTAGAATACAGTCAGTCAGTCAGTTGCAACGTAGAACTTTGTACGTATGTACATCACTTCATGTTGTCATACCACATAAGCACAGAGACGTAAATGTCAAATCACATCCAATAGTAATAAAGATAGTAGAGGTGTTAATGGTAATGAAGAAGACTAAGGTTTGAAGATATTATTCAAGAAGTATAATTCAGTGAGATAAGGTTACAAAGACAAAGGTAGAGTTTCTGACGTTTCCAGAAGATTAGGATTTGAGAGAGCTCAACGAATGGATGCACTTGCGCCATTGCAAACGATTTTGAACCATGTCGTTCAAGGTCTCTAACCATTGGTGACCATCGTCTTGCGGACCTCAACCAGGTAGTCTACATCTACCAATATGACTCCGTAATTTAGAATACACCAGTCTTCCGTCTGTTTGTGCTAATAAACATTTTCATTTTTGCATTATCATTGTTTGCTATACTACACCACTGAAAGTTCTTAGAAGTTATGGGTATATGAGGGCGGTTGTCACTTCCCGGCTGCCCACACTGTGGAAGGTTGTTTCTTGAGGGACCTGAAAAGGAAGGTAGATTAGTGTTGGTCTTAGAGATCTTGTAGCGTGACCGCAGAGTCCAAGGGACAACTGCTTCAGGCCGGTCACGCACAGCCTTTTTATGAGAAGTTTTTTGAGTATTAGCTCCGCTCTTGAAAGCCCTTAGTGGGCACCCTAACCCCAGGAGGCGGAAATCTGTGAGGCAGGGTGAGGTGTGACATTTTTAGGGTCGACCTTTTATAACCCTTCCTTCCTTGTGAGAAGGCAGCATCGCTGCAGATGCTGGTTGTCCGAGGGAAACACCTCACTGCTGTCACACTCCTCTACAGTCAGTCAGCAGTACGACTTCGCCCTCAGACCTTGTGTAGCTGCTTTTAGTCTGATCGTTCTCCAATCGACCTGCCTGACATGGTAGAACCTACAGGAGCATATTTTTCAGCCCATATAGCTGGAACTTCTTAGTTGTCTTATTTCTTATGTCTTTATGTATGGAAGATTATCTTGAATAGTTTACTTCACAAATTATTTTTTCTAATTAGTAAGAGATATGTTCACTATGTAATTTATTTCCATACACAAGTTTTAATATTTTGTGAATTTCTGTTGAGATTTTTTCAAATTTTCACTTGAACAGATTACATATATAACATTAATCAAATAGTGTGCTCTTAGCTAGTCTTAGATACCTTGGGTACGGCTGAAATTGAGGAGAGTGTACTCCCTTTTGCGAAATGCTCTCATATAACCACTACCAGCGAAATTCTGTTCACTGCCTTCTCGTGGCTAGGGTAGTGTTGACAGAATTAAAAGAACGAAGAGAATATGTTTGGCGTTTTGATATTTTTTATGGGTACATACAATCCATTTGAAGAAGTCTAAATTACCCTGGTTTCAAAGCGATAGTCCACATGGGCTGTAGAATCCTTCGCGACAGTTAGCTCTGTCCTACTACATGGCTACAAAAATGGCCGGTAAGAGTTGAAGGAATTCTTGGGTTATTAGTATTTGATCACAGAGGTCTTCGAAGCATTGCTCGTGTATCCTGGAACCATTGAGTAAGCAATACTGTTGTTAGGATACGAGAACTAGTTAAGGGTGGCAGAACAATACATGAAGTATTAAAACTTTATCAATTGAGGTAGTTGAGACATTTTTTGCGACTGTCCAACCACCGACTGGCTCGTTGAGCTATATTTTGCGATGTAGGAATAGGTTAGAATAAAGCCAGGGGAGGCCAAAACAAAACATTGCAGAAATCCATGAAATCACTGACAAGTGGATCGAGTCATGTTGGTAGGTGTCCACTACCTGTATTCCTTATCACCTCCTTATCTTTCTAAATTTATTTCACTGAATTATACTTCTTGAATAATTTCTTCAAAACATAATCTTCTCCATTACCGTTAATACTACTTCTACTATCACTACCTCCATAAGATTTGAACTGACTGTTGCGTCTCTGTGCTAATCTGATACGAAGTTCTATGTTGTAACTGACTGACTGATTGACTAATTAGTACTCAAATGTGATGAATGCCTCTTCATTGTTCTGTTTGTTTTCTATGTGTATCATCAAACAACGCACTAACTAATTATTACACATGTTTGTCAAAATTTATTTTTCGATCTGTTACGCTCGTCACTAAGTATGCTTGAGGCTATTACGAGTTCACCTTAGTCGATAAACGCGAACGAGACTTTTACCAGTGTCCAGGTAGGCTACCTTGAATCCCCAAATATAGCGAAAAGGCTTTGTAAGCGTAGAAAGTATATTCTACAAACACCCAGCAATCACAGTACAGTCAAGTATACAACTCTCGATTATTTATACATCATAGAAACGTCCTTGAGGCAGTCACAAAATAGCACACTAAAATACATAGCAGCCAATCACAGCCATGGATTTTCCTGGTGGGAATTGAAATCTCAAGGTCAACTGATCAGCCCATGCTGGCAAACGTGAAATCCAAAATAAGGCATTTATCAAGCGAATTTCGGGGATCTGACATCCCCAACACGATCATCTCAATGAAGAGTTTAACGATATTTTTTCTGAAATAATTTCAACGCTATTTATTTACTAAGCCTTATAACAGACAGATTATTCTATCATTATTGATCAATATATTTTGTTTTTTTGTGTGTGTGACTTTATATCTGACGTGTTCAAGACAAGTAGTGTACGTGAATCATTAGTACAAATGAAAGAATCTTTAAAACCTACTGATCAATCTATCATAGAAGATGGCACGTTAAATTTACAAACTACTACTAGTACTACATCTGAAACAACTAGTCAAGCGATAAATCTTCCAATTCCAGGATCTTCAATATCTGTGCTTACTACTACTACTAGTACTACTACTGTTGAATGTACAACATTAGTTCCGGTTATTGAAGAACCTGAAGAAATGCCACAACCACAGCAACAACAACAACAACAGAATGAATTTGGTTAGTCTATATATACTATTTTTTTGATGAATATTTTCTACTCTACAAAAGTCGATTTTTATCTCTTAACTAAAATAAAATGTTAAAAAACTTCGAATTTTTCCTTAATTGCACTCCTTAATTTACATAGGTGTTAGTGGGCAATATACTCACTCTGTTGAACAGATTAATATTGAAGTGACAATTAGTCAATCAGCTGCAAAGTAGAGAACTTCGTACGTATGTATGTACATCAATTTAGGTTTCCATATCACATTAGCATATAGAGATACAATTGTCAATTCAAATCCCATAGTTGTAGAGTTAGTAGAAGTATTAGCGGTAATGGAGAAAAGATTATGATTTGAAGATATTATTCAACAAAGTAGAATCTAGTGAGATAAATTTAGAAAGATAAAGATAGAGGTGTTAAGGAATGCAGATGATTAGAATTTGAGATAACACGAAAAAGTGAATGTACCTTCTTAGGATATTCATCCAATATCCTAAGAGAATTATAGGTCAATTCCTATTGGTTAATTCCTACTAGTCAATTTTATGATCGTCCTAGATATCAATGTCACATGCTCCAGTGTTGCTTCCTATTGGTCGTCTTAACTGTCAGTGTCACAGACTTCGATGCTGTTTCCTATTCGACCAAAATGTATAAATACGCATTATCTATAACGTTTTATGACCAGGACCCGGTCCGGGATCCTGATTCTGTTCTGGACTCGGACCTCGTACTTTCTGGTTGCTTGTAGAATACCGGTTCTACTTCATATCAAGTCTTCTTATTTTTACTCAATATAGGGGTTGGGATAATCGGATTAGAGTAGCATGTCATGTCACCGGGTCCTCGATCCTCACTCTCGTATTCTGTTTAAGGTATACTCATAATAGTCCAAGTATATCAAGTTGACGTGCTTACGTGCAGGTGTAACTGCCAGTCACTGAGATATTTACTTATTGACTGAGAGCTTTTAGATGACAGTTCTGTGTAATGGAAACGACAAAGTACAGCCCTTTAAACACCTCAAGCAACAACATAAACATGCTTGAGATATGTTTTTTGATCTAAATACAAAGTGTTTTATCGTGACTGTTTTACGTTACCACCTGAACTAATTAGTTGAGCACTTCACTTATTTTGAAGCCTCGTTAATCCTAGTGGATTCCTGTTTGACGAAATGTCAGCGCGATCTACGAAGCTTAGTTGTTGTATTTTAAGAATCTTTATTCCTTCCTTGATTGTCTTGTGTTTTTTCACCTTCCTCTCTTGATGTTATCAATTCGACTAATCTGTCATTTGTGTTGCTTATTTCAACTTCCTCTGCTGATATGATGTGACAAATCACATCCGCGAAGGCACTAATTGGGTTTTACGTTTATTGCCACTAACTATAAGTAGAATACTAAACCCGACCGGGCTTGCCTATCGTGATGACCCAACCGAGCTATACTGGCTGGAACATATGTTCCTGCAGGTCCTACCATGCCGGGCAGGTCGATTGGAGAACGATGAGACTAAAAGCAGCTACCCAAGGTCTGAGGGAGAAGTCGTACTGCTGACTGACTGTAGAGGGTTGTGACAGCAGTAAGGTGTTTGCCTCGGACAACCAGCATGTGCAGCGATGCTGCCTTCTCACAAGGAAGGAAGGGAGGGTTAGAAAAGGTCGACCCTAAAAATGTCACACCTCCCCTACCTCACGGATTTCCGTCTCCTTGGGTAAGGGTGCCTTTAAGAACGGAGCTAATCCTCACAATACCTTTCATAAAAAGGCCGTGCGTGACCGGCCTCAAGCAGTTGTCTCTTGGGCTCTGCTGTCACGCACCAACACTAATCCATCTTCCTTTTCAGGTCCCTCAAGAAACAACCTTCCACGGTGTGGGCAGCCGGGAAGTGAAAACCGCCCTCATACCCGTAACAGCACGCAAGACCAAATTGGTCAAAATCAAATCCTCCCTACACCCCCTAATGTCTCTCTTATCTCTACGACTAACTCTACTCACACTCTCTTTTCTCACTGCACCGCTAATGCAGACGAAGCGAGATCACGAAACGTCGTTCCTGGTCTCTTGAAACCCCGTTCTAGACTACTGTGGTATGGCAACATGAACTGGTGTACTTACGTACGAAGTTCTACGTTGAATCTGACTGACTGAGAATACTAAGCAGTTAGTTGTAGTTTTCTCAGTTTTCTAAATTATTTATCTTTACTCGTTCTCATGATGATGTTTTTCGTTCCATCGCAACGGTACATCTTCACTATTTAGGGAGATTGATCTTACCAATAGAATTCGCATCATCTGTATTGAGCTATTGCAATTCTAAGCTGTTCGAGTTACAAATAATCTGATCTAGAATTAAGATATAAACTGTTATTGATCAGTGAATGGTATCAGTCCTCATACTTGTTTAATCACCAATGGTTAGAGACCTTGAACGACATGGCTCAAAATCGTTTGCATTGGCGCAAGTGCATCCATTCTTTGAGCTCTCTCAAATCCTAATCTTCTGGATTCGTCGTACCTCTATTATTGTCTTTCTAACCTTATCTCACTGAATCATACTTCTTGAATAATATCTTCAGACCCTAGTCTTCGTCATTACCATTAATACCTCTACTATCTTTATCACTATGGGATTTGATTTGACATTTGTGTCTCTGTGCTAATAATGTGTTATGGCAACATCAACTTATATACATACGTACGAAGTTCTAAGTTACAACTGACTGACTTGTTTAATCCGTAGACGAAACAATACAGTGCATAGCTCTTCTCTATGACTGTATAAATCTTCTAAATAATCCTTCATTACTGATGAATTTCAACACGAATAACATGAATGAATGCTTGTGTGTTACTTCTTAAGGCTATTTTATTTTCAAGATAACTATTCTGTTGGTATATTTCCTAAACAAATATGAAAACATTTTATTTTATTGTTTAAATATTTTTGTAGATCCTAAATCTGTCGGCCCCAATGTAACTGAACAACTACTTCCTGATGAACCGCATCAACAACCACCACCACCACCACCTGACGAACTTACTACTCCATATCCGGTAAAATTATTACCTTTCAATGATAAATCACAATTATGGAGGTAATGAAATTATTTATTTCCTTTACTTCACATGAATAATTTTGTCAATAATATTTAAACTATTAAGGATCATCCTTAGTTACCTACTTACTTACGTCTGTTACCCTCACCGGAGCATAGACCGCCGACCAGTATTCTCCAACCTACTCTATCCTAGGCCTCCCTTTCCAGTTCTGTCCAATTTTTGTTCATTCTTCTCATATCTTCGTCTATTTCTTGGTGTAATACGGTTTTCCCCCTTGAAATGCAAAATGTTGCTTCAAGATTTGGTTTCATCACTACCTGAACTAGTGATAGGGAGTGAAGTAGTCGAACGTGTAGACTTCTTTACTCATCTAGGGAGTCTCACCGGTGCTGATGGCCTGATGACTGAGGCAATCTCAGCCCGGATACAGAAAGTCGGACTGGCTTTTGCCAAGTTGCGTCACCTTTGGCTCAGACCAGATATCCGTTTGCTGACTAAAGGTCGAGTGTACTGCGCAGCATTTCACTCCGTCCTACTATACGGATGCGAAGCATGGCTGGTGAGAGTAGAGGACATTCTTAGATTGCTTGTCTTCGATCATAAGTGTCTTCGAAGCATCGCTGGTGTATCCTGAGACAGCCGAGTATGCGATGCTGTTGTGAGGAAACGAGTACTAGATAGAGATGGCAAACCAATATATGAAGTATTGAATCTTCATCAGTTGAGATGGTCTGAACATGTGTTACATATGCCCAACCACCGACTGCCTCGTCGAGCTACGTTTTGTGGTGTAGGAGTAGGTTGGAAGATAGCTAAGTGTGACCAAACCAAAACATGACAGAAATCCAGGAAATCACTGAAAATTGGATTGAGTCAAGTTGGTAAGTGTAGACTACCTATTTGGATTCCGCGAGACAATAATAACCGATGGTTAAAGACCATGAATGACATGGCTCAAAAATATTTGCAATCGTGTAGGTGCATCCACACTTTGTTTTTCCCCAAATTCTAATCTTCTGCATTCCTCATCACTTATATCTTTCTCCTTTTAAATCTATTTCACTGAATTATACTTCTTGAATAATATCTTCGAACCCTGGTCTTATCCATTATCGCTAATACTTTTATTACATCTACCAGTATGGTAATTGAATCAACACTTCAATCTTTCTTCGGTTAATATAGCATGGCAACTTGGTACCTACATATATGAAGTTCTACGTTCAAGCCGACTGACTGACATTGGCATAGACCTGCCTAGAATGTTAAGTTTCCTATTGGTTCAACTTATCACTTTACTGCTGTAAATGTGTTTTGTTAGTTTGCAGTTTTTTTGAATTTCATTGAATTCGTTCATTATGTAAATAAGTGATTTCGCCTTTATTTTTTTTGGATTTGATTTTGATTAATTTGGTCTCGTGCGCTGTTACGGGTATGAGGGCGGTTGTCACTTACTGGCTGCCCACACCGTGGAAGGTTGTTTCTTGAGGGACCTGAAAAGGAAGATAGATTAGCGTTGGTCTTAGAGACCTGGGTGCGTGACTGCAGAGCCCAGGGGACAACTTTTGAGGCCGGTCACGCACCGCTCTTAAAAACCCTTAGTGGGCACCCTTACCGCCGGAGACGGACTTCCGTGAGGTAGGGTGAGGTGTGAAATTTTTAGGGTCGACCTTTTCTAACTCTTCCTTTCTTGTGAGAAGGCAGCATCGCTGCACATGCTGGTTATCCGACAGGAGCACCTTATTGCTGTCACACCTCTCTACAGCCAGCAGTACGACTTTGCCCTCAGACCTTGAGTAGCTGCTTTTAGTCTCATCGTTCTCTAATCGACCTGCCTGACATGGTAGAACCTACAGGAACATATGTTCCAGCCAATATAGCTCGGTTGGGTCATCACGATAGGCAATCCCGATCACTACGTGTTAAGGTAGCAGCTACGGTCG